AGGGACCCAGCATCTCATTGTCTGGATACAGTGATCTGGTGAGTTTCAGTTCTTTGACAATTTTTTTTTTTTTTTAAAAGAGGTCTGAAGTTCCTTTCCTGAGGAAGAAACTCAAATAAAACAAATGTAAGGTTCAAGCCTTAAGACCAGAAATGTCAATTTCTATTTTTATTCAAAAAAGTACTGTCTATGGGACTATTGGGTCTGTTTCACTTTGAGTATTCTTGACCTCTATTTTGCAATGAAATTAGCTATTTGGAAAGTTTGTCTTTTCTTTCTCAAGGCTTGCTTTTAAGCCTTGCCAGGAGGGGCCAAGGCAGCCTTTAGTCTAGGGCTACATCTGTCTGTACTACTGAGGCATACTTTCAACGCCTTGTGTATTATGAGGTTTCACTCTTCTGACTCTTAGGAATGTGAACTATTTCCAGCCATGTGTGATCTCCAGAAATTGTTTTACCTGTTCATTTCTGATGGTTCCTTATCTGAACCTCCCTAGTTTCTTATCTGGACCTCAGTAGTACTTATCTGCAGATAAGTAGTCAGCTAAACACTCAAGAGCACTCTGAGGCCAGGCACAGTGGCTCACACCTGTAACCCCAGCACTTTGGGAGGGCAAGGTGGGCAGATTGCCTGAGTCCAGGAGTTTGAGACCAGCTTAGGCAATGATTCGGGAGTGCTAGAAAGGGAAGAGTGTGGTTCCTTTAAATAAATAATGCAGAAGTTGGGAAGGGAAGTGCTGGGTAGAGGAGGGCGTGGTCCTTGGCTAGGGTTCCACCCCCATGGACCTAGGTGAGAACAGGCATTTCCTGCCCAAATATTACATTTCTCAAGACCACCCTGGCCTGCCATGCCCCCTTTCCAGGCCTATAAAAACCCAAGTCCCTAGCAGGCAGACACACAGAAGCTGCTGGAATTTGAGAGACATGTGGGTGGAAGAAGACACAAGTGGCTGGTCATCAGGAGGCCACCAGTGGAAAGAGCATGACCAAAAGGTACCAGCAGGGCAGCAGGCTGTCAACCAGTGGGACAAGGCGGATTTTGGCTGGGGCAGTTGGAGAGCAGGGGTCACCCATCGGCCTGACTCCAGGGGAAAACCTTCTCCTCTCTGGCTCCCCATAGGCAGAGAGCTACTTCCACTCAGTGAAACTTTGCACTCATTCCTCATGCCCATGTGTGATCTGATTCTTCCGGTACACCAAAGCAAGAAACCCTTGGATACAGAAAGCCCTCTGCCTTTGCGACCAAGTAGAGGGTTTAATTGAGCTGGTTAACACAGCCGCCTACAGACAGCAAACTAAGAGCATCCTGTAACAAACGCCCACTGGGGCTTCAGGAGCTGTAAACATTCACCCCTAGACACTGTCTTGGGGTTGGAGCCCCACAGCCTGCCCATCTGAATTCTCCCCAGAGGTCTGGACAGTGCAGCACTGAAGAAGTGAGCCACACCCCCATTGCACACCCCTCGAGGGGGAAAAGGGAGCCTTTCCTGTTTCTGCAACAGGGCAAAACCCTATCTCTACAAAAAATACAAAAATTAGCCAGTCATGGCAGCTCATGCCTGTAGTCCCAGAAACTCTGGATGCTGAGGTGGGCGGATTGAGCCCAGTTCAAGACAACCAGCCTGGACAACATAGCAAGACCCCATTTCTACAAAAAATACTAAAGTTAGCTGAGCACGGTGGTGCATGGCTGCGGTGACAGCCACTCGAGGATCACTTGAGCCCAGGAATTTGAGGCTGCAGTGGGCTGTGATCACACCTCTACACTCCAGCCCAGGTGACAGGGCTTTTATCTCAACGAAAGCAAAAACAAAAGCAAAACAAAACAAATGAAAACAAGAAGAACCCTCTGAGATCTCAGGACTTCTCTCTCTCTCTCCAATACCTTGCCCTGTAAACTAAAGCTGTCTTAGCCTCGTTGAATTTCCAGCTCTATCTCCAACTCAGGGGACCCAGTGGGCCCTGTGTGGGTTTCCCTTTCTTGCACTGCACTCCCCCAGGCAGTAAGCTGGGCCAACAGTAGGGCCGACTTCACTCTTTTCCTTTTCTCAGGGCTCACTGTCCTGTGCTACCCATTGTCTAATGTCCAAGAACAATTGTTTTATATACTTTGTTCATGTTTTAGTTGTTTAACATGGGAGGGTGAATGTAGTCCCTGTTATTCCATCATGGGCAGACACTGATGTCTCCTTGCTTGTCTCTTCACATCAGACAACTTTTTTTTTTTGTTTTCAAGACAGGGACTCACTCTAGTGGGACAAGAGTGGGACTAGGGACTCCAGTGATTCTCTCCACTCAGTCTCCCAAGTCTGGTACTTAAGACTCGGACCACTAGGCCTGGCTAGTTTTTCTTTTCTTTTTTTTTTTTTTTGGCAGAGATGAGGTCTCCCTATGCTGCCCAGGCTTGTCTCAAATTCCTGTTTGAGGGCTCAAGAGATCCTCCTACCTTGGCCTCCCAAAGTGCTGGGATTGCAGGGGTGAGCCACCACACCTGGCCACATCAGACAACTTTAAAGGCCATGAGCCATCCTATGATTTATCTTTCTTATGATCATGTGTCTTCCCAGTGTTCAATCAGCTGTGGCCAGGGACACTCAGTACAAAATTCTGCTACTACAGTGGTGACATAGTTAGGCTTGTGTCCCCACCCAAATCTCATCTTAAATTGTAATCTCCATAATTCCCATAATCCCCATGTGTCAAGGGAGAAACCAGGTGAGGTAACTGAATTACGGAGGCAGTTTCTCCATGCTGTTCTCAAGATAGTGAGTGCTTTTGAGATCGGTTGGTTTTATAAGGCACTCTTGCCACTTCGCTCAGCACTTCCTCCTGCTGGCTTGTAAAGAAGGTGCCTTGTTTCCCCTTCACCTTCCATCATGATTGTGAGTTTCTTTTTTTTTTTTTTTTTTTTTTTTTGAGACGGAGTTTCGCTCTTGTTGCCCAGGCTGGAGTGCAATGGCGCGATCTCGGCTCACCGCAACCTCCGCCTCCTGGGTTCAGGCAATTCTCCTGCCTCAGCCTCCTGAGTAGCTGGGATTACAGGCACGCGCCACCATGCCCAGCTGATTTTTTGTATTTTTAGTAGAGACAGGGTTTCACCATGTTGACCAGGATGGTCTCGATCTCTTGACCTCGTGATCCACCCGCCTCGGCCTCCCAACGTGCTGGGATTACAGGCTTGAGCCACCGCGCCCGGCCTATGATTGTGAGTTTCTTAAGGCCTCCTCAGCCATGCAGAACTGTGAGTCAATTAAATCTCTTTCCTTTATAAATTACCCAGTCTCGGCTGGGTATAGTAGCTCATGCCCGTAATTCCAGCACTTTGGGAACCTGAGGCGGGTGGATCACAAGGTCAGGAGTTTGAGACCAGCCTGGCCAACATGGTGAAACCCTGTCTCTATTAAAAATACAAAAATTAGCTGGAGGTGGTGGCATGTTCCTGTAATCCCAGCTACTGAGGAGGTTTCCCTTATGAGGAGGACCATCACCCTTGAGGTTGAACTATCAGATACGATAGAAAATGTAAAGGCCAAGATCCAGGATAAGGAAGGAATCCCTCCTGATCAGCAAAGACTGATCTTTGCTGGCAAGCAACTGGAAGATGGACGTACTTTGTCTGACTACAACATTCAAAAGGAGTCTACTCTTTTTCTTGTGTTGAGGCTTCCCACAGTGACTGAGCTGGGCGTGGTGGTATGCACCTGTAATCCCAGCTACTTGGGAGGCGTAGGTGGGAGAATCACTTGAACCTGGGAGGCGGAAGTTGCATTAAGCTGACATCTCGTCATGGCACTCCAGCCTGGGCCTCAGAACAAGACTCCGTCTCAAAACAAAAACAAAACAAAACAAAACAAACAAACAAACAAACAAACAAACAAAAAGCCAGGAGTGGTGGTGCGGGCCTATGATCCCAGCTACTCAGGAGACTGAGGCATGAGAATTGCTTGAACCTGGGAGGCAGATGTTGCAGTGAGCCAAGATCGTTCCACTGCACTCCAGCCTGGGCAACAGACTGAGACTTCATCTCAAAAAAATAAAATAAAATTAAAAATAAAAATCATCCAAAAAAGTCATTCTCTTTTCTGAGACCTGATTTTAATTCTCTGCATAGGCTTTATCACTAACCAGTGATTCTTTAATTTGTGTGTTGTCTGCTTCCCCCTACTAGAATGTAAGCTCTACAAGGATATTTTGTTTGATTGCTTCGCTGCTGTATTCTAGTCTCAGTGTTTAGACCGTGCCAGAAACCTAACAGACACTCAGTGTTTGTTTAATGAACAATCGAATACTAGTCCGCCTAATAGGAGGGTTAAAAACAGGGTTTCTAAAGTTGGAAGACCCAGATTGGAATCCTGGGCCATGTACTCGTGTGATCTGCCGCAAGCTGTTGAACCTAAGGCTGAAAAACGGGGATTCCAGCTATGGGATAGGCAGAGTGAATGAAATGACATTTATAAAGCCCTCCTTTGGCTCCGTAGCTCAGGAATTAGAGCACTGATATTGTAAAGCACTCTTGCTCCCTCTCCCTCCCTCCCCTATGCGCTCTCTTCTTCCCCCTCCTGCTCAGCCCCTCGCATGGCCACTTCTCTCCGGCTTTGCGTAACACAAGTCTACAGAGTCTAGAATAAGCCTTTGAAATTTGCCGGGAATTAACGTCATCAATTGGGAGAACGACAGCTGCGCACGCGCGGGGCACCTCCTCTGTCTCGCGTGCTAACTTTGTAGCCCCGCCAGCCAATCAGAGTTAGCATCGGAGCTCAAGGGCCAAGGACTCACCAATCGGAACTAGGAGGAGGGCCGCGGTGGAGGCAGTGGCGAGAGTAGGCGGGGACAAGGAGACGGCACGCACAGTTCTCGCGGCCGGGGTCTCCGCCGGCCAATGGGAGAGGCCCGAGGCCTGACGGCAGTGGGGCGTGGCATTGGCGGCTCCAACAACCAGAGGCCGTCCCAGAGCAGACCAATCGGATTGAGGAGGTGGGAGAAATCTAGCCAATCAGCGCACAGGACGGGCAAGGAGCGTCGGGGGCGGTGTAGTCTCCCGCGGACGCCGCCCGCTCCCTAGCTTCAGTCAAAGGAGCTGGGCGTGCGGAGGTGGCTGAGGAGGCGGGAAGGCGGCAGTGGTTGAAGGGGGCGATTGCTAACTAGCGGGGAGGGAGTGGGCAGGGATGGTAATGGCGACGAAGAAGGGCCCGGGCCCGGGCGGCGGGGTCAGCGGGGGCAAGGCGGAGGCGGAGGCGGCCTCGGAGGTGTGGTGCCGTCGGGTGCGGGAGCTGGGCGGCTGCAGTCAGGCCGGGAACCGCCACTGCTTTGAGTGCGCCCAGCGCGGGGTCACCTACGTGGATATCACTGTGGGCAGCTTCGTGTGCACCACCTGCTCCGGCCTCCTGTGAGTGACCGGGAGGGGGTGGCGGAGGTTGGCGTTGGAGGGGGGAACCCCGAGAACCTGGGAACGGGGTGAGGAGGCTGGGGCTCCGGAGCGCGAGGGAGGGGGGCCGAGGTAAGGGGCAGCGGGGAGGCCAGGAGACGAGCCGGCTACAGAGACTGGGTCGTCTGCTGCAGCGGTGTCGTGGGGAGGGGAAAGGGCAGGGGAGAGGAAGCGAGGCCGGAGTCGCGCTGCGGAGGGACAGGTGGGGGTGCAGAAGGACGCCCGAAGAGGGACCAAGAAATTCCCTGAGCGGGCGAGGCGAGCTGCGCTCGTGGAGAGGGAGAAAGTGCGGAGGATGGAAGGGAACTCAGGGTGGGATGGGGTGTCAGGACTTAAATAACCAGAAAATGACATGCACCTTGAGAGGGAACTTCATGCAAGTGGAAAACAAAAAGGAAAAAGGTGGGGAAAGCCGGCCTGGAGATGGAAAAGCACCTTTCTTCCTTCGGGCTTGTGTCCCTGCTGGAGTGTGAGATGCAGAAGCCAGTTGAAACTTGGTTGAAACTCCTATGACTAGAGTACAAGATTTAAAAAAAAAAAAAAATTTTTTTTTTTTTTTTTTAAATAGGTGAATTAACCCAGATTGACAGCCTAGGGATAGTGGCTGGAAGAGAGCCATGGTCCAGAGTTCAGGTGTAGTTACGAATCTTAGCAGGGCTTTGGAATGCTACCCAGAGGATAAAACTCTTGTGAAATCTAAGAGATGAGAGCCAGTGGGTTACCTTGGTAGAGAGCTTAGATTTTTCAAACGTTTGCACATCTAGGTGAGCCATCCTGAAGGGTAATCATTTACCCCTTTAAGCTCCCTGTTGCCACGGCTGGATCCAGGAAACTCTTCCTAGATTTTGGGGGGCTTCTTTGCATTACCTAAATGCTACTCTTAGCATTGGTGCTGTTCGGTAACGCCAGTGAATTGACAGCCAGAGTTCTAGCCTAGATTTATGGTTATATAGTAACCATCCCTCCACACCCTTCTCCACTCCCCTACCCCCGAATTAAGATATTTTTTGATTAGATGTATGATTAACATCTGATATCAGGCCTGGATCTCTGTTTTTTATGTTTGTTAAGGGATTTGTTTTGACTATTTTTTAGCCTTATTTTAAGACATTTTGTTTTGTTTTGTTTTTTAAAAAGATATGCTTTCCGGTAGGGGCGCCGTGGCTCACGCTTGTAATCCCAGCACTTTGGGAGGCCGAGATGGCAGATCACAAGGTCAAGAAATCGAGACCATCCTGGCCAACATGGTGAAACCCCGTCTGTGCTAAAAATACAAAAATTAACTGGGTGTGGTGGCGCATGCCTGTAGTCCCAGCTACTTGGGAGGCTGAGGCAGGAGAATCACTTGAACCCTGGAGGCAGAGGTTGCAGTGAGCCAAGATTGTGCTACTGCACTCCTGCACTCCAGCCTGGCAACAGAGCAAGACTTCATCTCAAAAAAAACAAAAAAAAAAAAACCAAAAAAAAAACAAACAAAAAAACTGCTTTCCCTGGCTTGATACCTTTAGGAGCCAGGGAGTGAGCAGTATTGTTCTTGCAAGACAGATGGGAGAACAGAAGCAAAGAGAGGTTTTGTAACTTAATCCAATGCCATATGGGGGTTGCTGTTTCCAACATTTGTTGTTTGATATTAGTGATGATCATGGCAGACCAGAAATGAGAGTTTAGTTCTCCCAAGATTACAGTCTGGAATTACTTCGTTTTAACCTGCTTTGCTTATAAACTTCTCTCTGGGTTCTGATCAACCTCATTTGTGGGTTGTAAGGATGAACTCAACTTTGATCTAAGTAAAAGCCATCGTGGCTCTTGGGATAATGATTGAGAACCCAAACAGTAATGTGTCATAAACTGAGATAGACTCAAATGTAGCAAGAGGATAGAGACTTGAGAGCAGATAAAGTACCCTGGGGAGAGATGGAGCAACCTTTAGGATTATGTACAAGGGGCCAGGCTCGGTGGCTCACGCCTGTAATCCCAGTACTTTGGGAGGCAGAGGCGGGTAGATTGCTTGAGGTCAGGAGTTTGAGACCAGGCTGGCCAACATGGTGAAACCTCATCTCTACTAAAAATACAAAAATTAGCCCGGCTGGGCGCGGTGGCTCATGCCTATAATCCCAGCACTCTGGGAGGCTGAGGCGGGTGGATCACGAGGTCAAGAGATCGAGACCATCCTGGTCAACAAGGTGAAACCCCCGTCTCTACTAAAAATACAAAAATTAGCTGGGCATAGTGGCGTGCGCCTCTAGTCCCAGCTACTCGGGAGGCTGAGGCAGGAGAATTGCTTGAACCCAGGAGGCAGAGGTTGCAGTGAGCCGAGATTGTGCCATTGCACTCCAGTCTGGGTAACAACAGTGAAACTCCGTCTCAAAAAAAAAAAAAAAAAAAAAAAAAATTAGCCCTGCATGGTGGAAGGCACCTGTAATCCCAGCTACTCAGGAGGGTGAGGCAGGAGAATCACTTGAACCTGAGAGAGAGGCAGAGGTTGCAGTGAGCCGAGATTATGCCAGTACACTCTCCAGCCTGGGTGACAGAGCAAGACTGTCTCAAAAAAAAAAAAAAAAAAAAAATACGTATCAGGTAAAGTCGAAAGAGAAAGAGCTGATCCTGAAAATCCTACTATGAAAAGAGAAATCTCATTAAAGTCTGAAGAGAACTAAAGAGAAGCAGGATGAAACTGATGGATAAAACTGAATAACTGGGAAATGCTGATGTTGTTATCATTATTTTGTAGATATTTCTTAAAGTATACCACAGATAACATGTCCCTTTTATAATACTCCTGAATCAGGACACAAAGAAAGCTAACGTATCTGGGACACATTAAAAACCTGGTTTCTTCTTCTTCTTTTTTTTTTGAGATGTAGTCTCATTCTGTCACTTAGGCTGAAGTGCAATGGCGCGACCTTGGCTCACTGCAACTTCTGCCTCCTGGGTTTAAGCAATTTTGCCTCAGCCTCCTGAGTAGCCGGGACTACAGGCACCTGCCATGACATCTGGCTAATTTTTGTATTTTTAGTAGAGACAGGGTTTCACCATGTTGGCCAGGCTGGTCTTGAACTCCTGACCTCAGGTGATCCACCTGCCTCAGCCACCCAAAGCACTGGGATTACAGGTGTGAGCCACGGCACCCAGCCTGCTTAGGTTTTTGATAAAGCATTATGAGACTAAATAAGGGAGTGATTCTCAAGGTGGTGGATTTAGAGAGCATATTTTGGTGTTCGGGAAATAAGACGCTAGACCAACCCTTTGTTAGGAGGAAATGAGAGTGGAGTGAAAGATCAAGACGCTGGGCCAGTAAATGAAGCCGAGTGGAAGGCATGTTGAGATTCTAAGGAGAGAAATATCAGGAGAAACTGCAAGAAAGCTGGAGTTTCCCTGTAATTAGCATGACAAGGGCAAGGCATATAATCCTTGTAAAGGCTGCTAGTCTTAACACAGTATATTACCTATGTCCCTTTGATGTGCTGTAGGAAGGACTGGGAGCTGGCAGGTGGGCATAAGGCAGAATGTGAGGCAGAGGATGCTTATTTCTGGAGGCATGGCTCCATGGTGGCACAGAAACCAATTAGCATCTTAAATTAGGGTTTTGTGGTGGTGGAAAGTGAACATTGTGGTAGGCTGACAGCCTGTGTGTTCATTCATTTTATCAGTCAACACATACTCAGTGCCTATCAAGCCCCAGACAGTTTTAGGCATTGGAGATAGAGTAGTGATAAGGGTTCCCATCTTCACAGAGCTGACATCCTAGTGGAAACCATGGACTATAAAGAAATCATTCTGTATTGCTAAGAGCTATGAAGTAAAATAAAGTTCTGTGGGTTAGAGATGATACCAAACTGAGATATGATGCAGAGAGAATTATTATTATTTTGAGACGGAGTCTCGCTCTGTTACCAGGCTGGCGCGATCTTGGCTCACTGCAATCTCCACCTCCTAGGTTCAATGGATTCTTCTGTCTCAGTCTCCCAAATAGCTGGGACTACAGGTGTGTGCCACCATGCCCAGCTAATTTTTGTGTATTTTTAGTTGAGATGGGGTTTTATCATGTTGGCCAGGATGGTCTCGATCATTTGGTCTTGTGATCTGCCTGCCTTGGCCTCCCAAAGTGCTGATATTGTAGGGTTGAGCCACTGCACCCACCTATTAGTATTTTTTAGATTGAGTCTCTGTCGCCCAGGCTGGACTGCAGTAGTATTATATCGGCTCACTGCAACCTCCATCTCCTGGGTTCAAGTGATTCTCATGCCTCAGCTTCCTCAAGTAGCTGGGATGACAGGCACATACCACCATACCCAACTAATTTTTGTATTTTTAGTAGAGACGGGGTTTCATCATGTTGGCCAGGCTGGTTCTCAAACTAATGATCTCAGGTGATCCACCTGCCAAAATGCTGGGATTACAGGTGTGAGCTACCGTGCTTGGCCTCAGGGAGAAATATTCTTTGTTAAAAGAAGAGGATATTAAGGGGAGAAATAGAAGTACCACACTTAGCACCATAGCCAGAGAAATCCATAGCCAGAGAAAGCCATAGCAGGATGACATTTTAAAGGCCAGTTTTCTGTTCAGTGTGTTACAAATTTGTCGTCTTCTTAAAGGGACAGAGTTGTCTGGGGGCAGTGAGCAAAATTACTAGAATTCCCAGCTGGCTGGATTGGCCCATGGAACATGACTGTTTCAGCCAAAGTTGAATTTCCTAAGATCTGAAGAAAAACACACATTTTAATATTGGTGGGTGGGTATGACTCTGCCTGCATCCCTGTATTTATGAGCTCATTCTTGTTCTCTTTGTTAATGAGAGATATTTTCTCAGCTGTAGCAAAAACCTACAGCGTTGGTGTGAGGGCTTGAGAGAGAGGCTGCTAGTTTCTGCTGTTCCTAAATTTACATACATACTGCCACAATTGTAGGTCCCACACCTGACCTAGTTTTATTCATTTGGTTTTCTTCCAGTACCTAATTTC